GAACGTTCTGCCCTCTTGCCAGCCAGAACCCCAGCCTTGGTGATCCTGCCACAGTTTTCCCAGACCAGAGGGCTTGGGACTGACTTCTGCCAGACCACCCTCACCGCCCCCACCCCACCATCCCTCCCTGCACCTACATCCAACATGCATTTGCTTTGAAGGTTCATTGTACACTAACACTTAGGCCCTGCCAACTCTGCCAACCACTGTCTAAAAACAAATTGAGTTGTCTGCGTGCCTACATGTAAGAAAAATAATTAGGAAACTAATTGTGAATCTGAAACAGAGCCCAGATTTGGGCTAGAAGTGCCAAATCCTCCCGTAACCACTCCTAATTATGGATTATTGGACAAGTTAATCTACTCTGTGCTCAGCTTTCTCAACTATAAAGTAAGACACTTAGAATTCTCATGCATAGTAGCTTATTGTAACTACCATGAAGCGATCCATATATGTCAATGGACTTTGTAAAAGGCCGGACAATGTCATGAGAGAATAGGTGAACAACTCTGTTAAGGATTGGTGCTCTTGGCATTTATTTTCATAAATGATTCAGGAGAGATAGAAGCACATTTTCTGGTTTGCAGAAAATATTAAAATCCTGCAGATAATGAAAAACTCAAGGAAATTCATTTTAAAAAAACCTATCTGGAAGTTGAACAAATGTTTATGGCCCCTTTCTGCTTTGACATGTCAAGATTCTATGCGATTGCAGCATCTGTGGTTATGGTTGGCCATATGATTCCACTACGGTGTCCAGTGTTAAAATGTTAATTACCTGTGTGGTTCCAGAGACACTAATGTTTAGTTATCCTGATAGCAAGCTGCTAATGATGTTTCTGCTGAGGACCTCAGATACTTCTCCACTTTGGCCAAGCCAAGTTCCTCTGAGTGTGAGCTGCCTAGAAATTCCTTCCTGGATATCCACCCCCACAGCTCACAACCTGCACTTCCATCATGTAGCTGCCCAAACATCCTCTTGTTTAGTGGCCTTCCCAGAGCACTCTTTCTGAAACAGCATTGCACCAGCCCTTGAACTCTCCAGGACATCACACTTGCTTTATGCTTTCAAATAGCACGATTCCTCTCTGACAAACTATGTATTTCTTCCCCTAGGGGATGTAATTTTATGTGTCAGTGTGATTTGACCATGGTACCCAGCTATTCAATCAAACATTATTTTGGATGTTTTGAAGGTATTTTTTAAAAAAGAAATTAACATTTAAATAGATAAACGAGTAAAGCAGCTTACCCTCCATAATATGGGTGGGCCTGATCCACTTAGTTAAAGGCTTTAAAAGGACAACTGAGGAAGGAATTTTGCCTCTGGACTGCTTTCTCTGAACCCCACTGGCTGGCCCACCCCATTGGATTTTGGATTTTCCAAGCCTCCAGGATTACAAAAGCCAGTTCCTTAAAATCTCACTCTCTGTCTCTTTGTCTCTCTCTCCATACACACATGAACCCCCTCAGTCCTGTTTCTCTGGAGAACACCGACTAATACATTTCACTCACAACACACTCTACGAGAACAGAGTCTTTATCTGTTCCCTGCTCTGTTCTGAGATATCTCTCTGACACGTAGTAAGTACTCAACTAGTTAATTGATTAATGGAATAGCTAATGTTTTTATTCCCAGCAGTATATACAATTGAGGTTTCTCTTTTTAATCTTTATTACCATGACTATTTAAAATTATTTTTATTTCTCATGTTTTACCCCATTTGGTTATCATTTACCTTAGTTTATTCACATTTCAGAGATTTGATTTAACCAATTTTCTGGCTTTTTCAAAAGCCTTTCTGATAAAAATGTTTCGAACATTCAGATCATTTAGTTCTTTGTGGGTTTCTGGCCTTGTCACAGCCCAAATGCCCCAGTTTCTGCCTGGACAGTTCGGGTTAAATGTTTGCATACTGCAATTTTGAGTTAATGCAAAAAAATAGTTAAGAATACAAGCTGTGTGGAGCACCGCTCACATCGTATAAGGAAGGCAGCAGTCACAATGTGTTCTTCAGGCCCATCTTTCTTTTTCATTCTTGACATAATTTTTGGATGCTGAACTAAATAAAAAATATTTCCAGAAATTTGACTCTGTGAGGCAGAGGTGAGCAAATATGAGAGGAGGTTGGTATCTGTGCTTCACAGTCCAGACGTTCGCAGCTCTTCCCTGCTCTGCTCCAGGTTTCGCGTGTCTCAAATTCTGATTGTATCTTGGTCAGTAGATTTTGATTTTCAATCAAAACCTTCAAAAATAAAACAGAATGAATTGGAAAGTACATTTCTTGTAGCCAGCCCCCAGAACGCTGAGTACATGCACAGTTTTTCAGAAATAGCATTAATGCAACACTCCGCAAATGTACACCGTGCTACTCCCCTGAGCACTTGATCATTTTAACCCGGGGGTTGTGGGCCTGCTCATGCTGTAGTCTCGTGAATAGTAGATGAAATTAGCACCCTCTGGCCAGAGGACACACACATTCACACACTGTTGGGTATCAAGTCTGAGTGCCTTTGACTTGTCAGTTTTGGCGAGCTCAAAACCTATAAACGTCTTGGAGTTTAAATCTGTGCCATTTTCTCCAGTTTCTGGAGAGAAAGGAGAATTGAAAGAGAAGTGATGTCTCACTGTTAACACCCTCTTCACAGCAGCTGAGGTGGCTGCTGACAGAAGAGAATTGCTCCTACTCAGCTCCGTTGCTTAGAGCCTCATTCCCTCTGACTACTGTAAACCAGACTCACAGACCTCTTCTAGCTACAGAATGACTTTTACAGTGAGTGGAGAATTTTCATGTGCTGTCAGTGTCCAGAGTGTTAAATGGTCAGTATATTTAATTTCAGGCTGTCAAATAGAACAATGAGGTAGTTGTGGAAAAAGTTCTTAAAAATTGGAATGATTTTCATTTGAAAGCCCTTCCCATTTTAGCGATTAAACAATTGGTATGCTTTCAATCACATTATTATTTTTTAGAGTGACCAATTTAATTATTATTCATTAGCTATACATTTTCTGATCTAGAAGAAGGGCTAACATTGTTAGAATGATAGGATGACCTGTAGAGAAAGTAAGAAGTAGCGAACTATGATCCTGAAAAGATAAATAGAGGCTAATAAAATTTTTTGTTCAAAGCTGCATGAAAAGATCATCGATTCAAACGTGTTTAATGAGTCATGCAAATGTAATGTGTAAAACATTCCCAAGTCATTAATCTATTACACATATCATGCCCATGTGCAAATCTACTTTTGGAAACTTAACGTTCGTTTTTGGTTACAATCTATGTTTTTAGTCCCAGAACGTGGCACATAGTAGGTGCTCAAGAAATGTCAGTTGGATTCAAGAGTTAGCTGTTTGAGAGGAAAGCCAGCATATTTCGGCATAATTCCTTAGATCTGTGTCTTAGTACCAGTTGTTCTCTACATGGAGTTGTTCACATACAGAAAGTGAGCTGTGTTCTGCAGAAAGTTCACCTGCCTCTTGGGTGCAGGGGTAACAACACTGTCATACTAGTTAGGAGACTTAGAAAAGCCCAGCTCTCTATCTGTTGCTAATGAGCGACCCCAAACAAGTCAGCTATTTTCTTGATATTTTGGTGGCATTTTCCATCTTGAAAGACTGGATTTTAGTATTGCATTTTGAAATACCTTCATCTCAGGAAGAAAAGTGGTCAGCCACATCTTCGTGGCTGTGTAATCTCTCCTTCTGTGTAAGTCCCATGGTATCCCGTAACGTGAAGGGAATACAGGCATTGATAACACAGGGCAAAGGGCTAAAATGGGAGAGGTAGGGACCCCTGTGGTAGTGACTTACATGTGTGGAACATTTAGTTCTCTTGACTCAGAAGATGTCAGTATTATTATGGTACCATAAGGTATGAAAACATATATACACGATGAAAACTATGAAAAATAACCTTGAGAAAAAAATCCTCAGAACTAATAGATTTTGTGGTACTTAGCAATATAATTTTCTTATTCCATATAAGATGAGAGATTATTTGAATTTATGTTTGGAGAGATAAAAAATAAATGCTAGGGAACCTGAGAAAAGAATCAACTGGAAATCACTCCCAAGTGCTTCCAAACATTTTTAGGGGCTGATTTTTCTAAGGAGCTCTAGTCTGTAACAGATAAATTTGACACAAATATCATTTAGACTTATGTGCATTTGTCTTCAGAAGAAGGGAATAAAAACAGATTAAAATTGGTTTTCTATTAAGTGAAGTTCATTTTTTTTTCTGAATAAAAGTGAAGAAAATTGTGTTGGCTTTATCGCATGATTTGGTAACTAGGAAGCATGAATTAAAACTGTTGGTTCTATGGCCATGTATAGAAAAAGGAAGAAACAGAACATGCTATAAACTAAGTACCAGGTTTGGAAGAAATGATCACTTTTTATCTTCACAAGAACCCTTTACCTTTCACATCTATAGATCAGGAAATTGAGCGTCAGTGAAGTTATATAACTTGCCTGAAGCAGCACTGTTGGTGGCAGAGCTGGGATTCAAACAGCATTCATACTGAAATTTCATGTTTTTCCCTACCCTACTATGATGCCCCTCAGCGGAACTTTATGATAATAATAACGATAATAATTAATAATAGTGCTTACCGGGCCCATGTGTATTATGAGCCAGAAATTGTGCTAAGACCTTTAAGTACATTATTCCATTCAATTAACAAACCTATGAAGAAGAGATTATTTCTACTTTACAGACTGAAAAAAAAAAAGAATTTAAGTGACTTTACCCACTGTCACCAGACCTCCTACCACTTATGATGCTGATTCTAGGGTAGCTTAGAGAACCCGAGATCTGGACTGCCATTCAATGGATCTATCTGCTCTGTTTTTGGAAGTGAGTGGGTAGGAGGATGGAGCCCCAACACTGATTTTGCCTGTGTACCACGGCAAACACAGCCATTTTGGGCGATGTGTCCTTGCTTACCAAGTTACTTAGTTCAGAACTCAATAACATTTTCTTCATGCTTTTTTTTTGCAGATACTTACTTCTGAGCTGTTGGAATCCAGTCAGAATGTTACTAAAAGGGAGGCTGGGTGCCCAGCCGGCCAACAGCGTGAGGGCGAATTCTGCTGTCAGCCATGTCTTCCTGGTATGTTACACATACATCCGGCAATCAGAGTGGCAACCGGGGTGGAAAATACCGTGTGGTAATAATGAAAAATATTTTTACAGTGTTTGGCTCTCCTGCATGATAGCATTACTGAAAAAATAGAAAACTATGAAATTATTTTCTTGAGACCAGTTCAATTCATCTTTATCACACCTGTTTGACGAGGGAATAAATAAATATACTTTACAAATGATACGTATGTCTGAAATGAGAAGATTTATCTACCTAGTTTCATTTTGCATTAACAAAAGGAGACTCATTTGTGAATATTAAGGCTGGTCACATCAGAAATGATGAGAATGCATCATAATTGTGGCACTCTGAAAGCAAGTATCTCAGTACTTCTCCTCAATTAGAAAACACTGAAGCCTGCAAAATACATTTGCATTTTGCAGCTTAATAACTAGCTGAGCTGGAAAAGCAACAGACAAAAACCGACGGTTTTTTAAAATCAGTATTTTGAAATGCAAACCAGTTTCAGATCGGAAATCCTTTAAACATCAGCAAAATGGAAGCTAAACGAAATGCAATTGCACAAGCTTTTTTCAACATGGAGTACATTGACCACTGTTTCATACAGATATGAATCTTTTCTTGCTGCTTTGTGAAGTGAGACAGGAAGGTAAAGGAAAACAATTCACGGATTTATGTGCCAGGCTGCTGGAACTATAAAGGGTTGTCATACGGGGCCATGGTTGGCCTCCCAGGATTTCAGCACTCAGGCTGCTGTACAGGCATGGGTCCTGTTTATAAGAAGATTCTGCCATTCTTCCTTGGCCTCCTGCCCAGGTTTTAATAACCCTAATGGAAGCTCTCTCTTATAATCCAATCCCTTTATACTTAAACTCATTTACTCTTCCATAACTAGGAACAAAAAATGTGGAATCTAATGAACAAACTGAACTAACAAGGAAAATGGGGGCAGACTCATAGATGGAGAGCAGGATGACAGCTAGACAAGATGGAGTAAAAATGGAAGAAGCACTCAAGGACATAAACAACAGTGTGGTGATTGCTGGGGGGACGGTGTATAAGGGGACTAAATGGTACTGGGAAAAAATACAAGAAGAAAGAAAGAGAGAGAGAGAGAGAGGGAGGGGCTTCTTGACTTTTTATAACTTGCTAACCACAATCAATTTGTTCTGTGAATTCAAATCTTTCATATTTTTTGAACCTAAAATGCAAATTAAAACAAAGATAACATGCTTCACATTTCAAACTGTTCAGGATTTTTGTCTGTTTGCTTTTTCTGTTTTGCTTTCTTTTACATTCATTTAAAGAGTGCTCTCAGCCCTGGTGAAGTTTGCTTTTGAGATAAGAACTCTCATATACCACCAGCTCTTTTTAAGAAAGAAATTTGGATATGTGGATCAAAAACATGAAAAGTTTTTACCTACTGATACAGTACTTGATTAACAAGAAAATGTCTTAGGAAAATAGTCAAAATAAAGGAAAATATTGAACAAGTGACATTTCCTTATGTCACCCCAATGATGTGCAACCCATCGATGTGCAACTAAGTAAATTTTGGAGTATTCAAAGGCTGGAATATTATGTTCAATCACAGTCTCATTTTCTGTTATATTTCTAATATAATTCTCAATGGACACAGATTCCCTTAAGGGATTTCTAACTGATCTGCTGGCTGAATTAACTAATTCTCTCTGCTCCATCTCTAAAACACCCTGGGTGGCACCCCACACCTGCTGAGCATGCCTTCTACTTCTATTCCCTCTTGTTCCATTTTAGGTTGTATCAGTATTCAAACTGCTTCCACATCTCTTTATGCTTATTGGTGTTGTGACACAAATATGTTATAATTAAATATTATATAACCAATGGTATATAAATACAAAGAAATACAGATTGTATTTCTGTGAAAACTAGTTGGAATGCTTTGGAGAACTTCACTAAAGTTGATAAACTGAGCTGATGAATTAAGTGAGGGCAAAATCAATGGAAAATCATAAAAATCTTGAAAGCCTTTCATACAGATTATTGGTGTCTTTAAATTTTATTTCCACCAATAAAGAAAGGGATGAAGAAGGGAGGAGAGAGGGTACGAGAGAGGAAGGAAGGGAAGGAGAGAGAGAAGAAGAAAGAAGGAAAGAAAGAAAGAAAAGTCATTCGTCAAAGAGGACAATTCATTTAGATACCAAGATAATACCACTGGCAAGCAAATAAAGTTGTGCTTTGGCTTGGTTTTCTTTTAAGTATTGCCACAATGTTATAAAGCCCCGATGCACTGTATTTGAATTCGGTTCCAGGTTTCCATGGCTTGCCTAATTTTTCTATTGATGGATATTATCTTTATTTACTAAAATATCATATGTGTCTAAATTAATTTGATTATGTAGTAAGTATTGTTTTGTTTTATCAAAACCAAGCCTCTGAGGTTGTTGAGAAATGGTGTACCTAGGAAAGATAGCATAAATTATTCCTGCTGCACATGTGAGAAGAGCAGATTGGACTTTGCTTATTCTTCTTAATTAGTTATGCCATTAGTAATTAGAGTCAGTAGTCCTGCTTTTCTCTTTGATTCCCCATTTTATTTTGTCTCCTTCTTTCTCATTCTCTATTTTTGTGACCTAATCTAGTTTTCCCCACAGCACTTATCACCACTTGATGTCATATATTTATTCGTGCGTGCCTTCTTCTCCCGTGAGAATACGAAGTCCTGGAAGACTAAGGCTTTGTTTACTTCCTGTAGTGCCTTCAGCTTCCAGGAAGTGCCTGGAACACAATAGGCCTTTAATAAACAGCTGTTAAATACATAAAATTTCCAGGAGGGGGCACTGTTGTATAATGCTCACTAATAGCAATATAATGACTTGTTTTATTTTTGAAGTAAATGAAAGCAAATATGAATATTATTTGAAATTGTGTGCTTTATGATAACAAATCTGATGATAGAGTTTGTTATACGTTCCTACCTGCCCATCACAACATACTCTGACCCTTACTGGCAAAGGAATAGAAAGAAAGGGGAGAAAAAAAGGGCTGTGAGCCTTTGCTAGGCAGGCCCTGTGCAGTTCTGGAAGCAGTGCAAGAGAGGGATTATTGTCTCCATCAAAGGCATGAAGAAATGTAGGCTCAGAGAGAGTAGGCACTTTGTTAGAGATCCTAGGGATACTAAAGATTAGGCTGAGGCCCTTAGAACCCAATGCCCTTTTCCCTGCACTGCACTGTCTCTCACCATAATCTGTGGACTTTGGAAAATAGAATGAGGAGCCAGAGTAAGGTGAATGCTTTAGGTCATGGCCATTGGCAACCGCCATGAATACATACCCATCAACCTCTCCTCTCCCCACCAAAATGTAAGTAAGGCATTCTTTTCCCCAGTGCATTTGGTCACTCTAGCCTCTTTTGTTCCCCTGTCCCATGTTCCTATTGTTAATCATCCTATTTCTGTGTCTATCTTCCTTCAGTCATTCCTTCAGCTGTTGTCTTTGGAGACTTTCTGTCCCTGGCATGATTTTTACAATGACCATCTCCTCTATTATATTCATAGATTAGCCAACTCCCCCTGTGTTAGCAGAGTTCTACTGCCATCCTTACATATTCCCCATGCTGTGGCGTCCAAACTTGCTCCATTCTATTCTGGGCAGGTGAACGGAAACGCAGTGACTGCAAGGCTGACGGGGACAAGCTATTCTGTGAGCCCTGCCCAGAAGGGCGGGAGTACACAGACACGAAACATTATTCTAACAAATGCAGACGATGCAAAACTTGTGATGGAGAACAAGGTAAGTGTCTTACAAAGCAATTGAAAGAGACCAGTTGTAGTACTCCATGTAGAATCATTTGTAATACAATTGGAAATGGGGACCTACTCTGGTGCTATGTTGGCATACAGGGAGGGACAGGATGGGGCCGACTGGGGTGAATGAAGCAGGACCAGGGACTGAGGTAACCGCTGGTCTAGACACTTAGGAGCCAAGCCTAGGCAATTCTCCCAGACGTAGCAGACTGATTAAATATGAACCCTGTGAACAAAGCTCCTTAGCTCCCATCAAAACTGCAGAAACCTTTCTTTTCTGCCTTGATTTATGTTTTTTATGTAATGGCTCTTGTTTATGGCCAGAAAGAGCTCAGAAACCTTCAAATCCAAGGACAGAGGATCCCGAGAAGAGGGTGGGATGCTTTACCTTCTTTGGGGATCTGGTTGTTCTGGTCATTCCAGTTGGGGCCCTGAATTTTCATGAATATCCCAATCTATTTTGATAGCCCCAGATTAAAATATAGTGGAAGTACTCTCAGTTCTGGTTGACATTAAGGACTCTCTGGGGATATGTTTTTCTTGTCTCAAGCTCTAAAGCAATATTTCTCCAGCTTGGCTATACATTAGAATCACATAGGAGCTATGAAAAATGCCAATGTTTAGGTCCCGCCTTAGATCAATTAAATCAGAATCTCTAAGTGAGAGCTTTGGCCTTGGTCTGCTTGAGTAGGTCCTGGGTGGGACCCAGCAATCTTCATTTCTAACAAGCTACCAGGTGGCGCTGATGCTGTTGGTCCACAAGCCATGCCTGAGTAACCTGGCTTTAGGCTGGAAGAGCAGGGGAGCTATTAAAGCAAAGGGGGGGCTGTCTTGGTTGCTGGATTGTCTATCCACTTAAAACTCTGCTAAATGTTTCAACCATTTCAACCTGGAGTTGCCTGTTGTGCATTTAAACACCAGTTGCGTCAGTAAAGGCACGATGGTGCGGCGGCTCTGGTAAGTGGCGGATCTCAGAAGTCTACGCAGCGCCTGCCCGTTATGTTCCTAGTGCATTTATAACTAGCTGCTGTGGTTAATAGTCTGCAAATCGGTCTTCTAGGCTTTGAAGTGGAAATAAACTGTACAACGACCCAGAATACCAAATGCAGATGTAAACCAAACTTTTTTTGTAACACTCTTCTATGCGAACACTGTGACCCTTGCAGCACGTAAGTTTTAATCTTTTTTGATGAAAACACTAGATATACCTTGAGAGATAATGCCTTGCTAGTGGGAAGCAACATGGGCTGAGAGCCAAGAATTTGGGATCTAGGCTTGCTTTGCCTCCAAACAACTAGATACCCATCTGCTCATTCAGACAGCCAGTCTCCAAACAGGTATTGAACCCCTCTTGTGTTCTTGACAACTGCTGGCTGCTTAAACTATCAATATGAGCAAGACACATTGCTGGCATCCAAGCTCTCAGACTAGGGCAGAGAGAACCAAAAAAGGCGTGGTTATTGAGTCAAGGCCATGTGGCAAGCATCAGGAGCGCCTAGGGTATTAGGAGTTATATAGAACCTTTCAGCCCTGCCTGGGGAGATGCAGTGAAGATATGACACATGGCTTGAGTCTTGAAGGAAGGTGCACCTGGATCCAAAGGACACCTCAGACAGGGAAACAGCAGCTACAAAGAGACAGAGGAAGGTCTGGAGAACACGGTACCCGTCTGGAGCATGGGACAGATAGCAAAGGAGCCAGGGCCTGATCATGAAGGGCCTTGTCTTTCATGCTGAAGAGCTTGGTTTTGACCCAAAGTTAGAAAACCTGATTTGTGCGCCTCACTTTTCTTCTGATTAACTGAGTGAGCTGACGCACATCACTAAACCTCTCTGAGGTTTCAGTTTCCTCATTCATTAGGACACAAGTAATGCTCACTTGTCTCATTGGTCTCATTTCTGTGAAGATCAGTTTGCGTAATATATTATAAAAACAGCTTTTACTTTGTTAAGACATCAGTGTGCCTCTTTTTCAACTTGTAATTCATCTTAGGAAATATGTAGGAGTTACCTAGTAGGCTTGAAATGTAGGGGCATCATGCCTGATGTCTGTTATTTACTGGAAAAAATGTAGGGCATGTGCACTTACCCTTGCCTCTCCTTTCTAGTGCCAAGTGTCTGAGACAGCCTTCATGATGCCAGAAAAATAAGTGGGGATTATGGGTAGGGATTAATATAAGTCCAATAATATTAGTTATTTCATAGTCTTGATTTAATTTTCTTCTCACCATAACCCCTTCAGAAGGTAATATTATCTCCATGTTATTGGTGAGCAACCAGGCTCACATTGGTTACGTAACTTGCTGAAGCTCACCTGGTTAGATAGTGGGCGGAGCCAAGCTTCAATTCAGACAATCTGACTGTCAGTGAAAAGGGAAACCTGTACAGGCCAGCTGAGTAGGCTCCCTCGGCAGCATTGTGGGCATTGATTATTGTCTGGCCATTTTTATTCTATGACACTTCTTTGAAATTGCTTTTGTAGTTTATGATTGCCTCCTGGTATTTTAAGAACACAGTTTATTGCCAATTTTATGTTAGGGTCTATTTCAGCCTTTTTCCTGTCAATTCTTTATTACCTTCCTTTAACTCTGAGTATTTTAAAACATAGTCTTTCTTTCTTCATCCAAACATCCATATTATGTTATAAATTTTTACCAGTGTTAGAGGCTGCTCTAGAAATATTTGAGGGAATGTGTTTGATGGAGATGCAAAAATGAGCGTAATGGCCCCTTATTTATAGTGTGTCATTGAAAATGATCAAGGACTCAGTCCGCCAGGCTTTTTGAATCTCTTCTATACTTTTTCTAGGTGTGAATATGGAGTCGATGAGAAATGCACACCAACCCACGACACCAAATGTAAAGAAGGTTGTTATTATGAGTATATTCTCCTTTCTCCTATTCCCATAGTAAAATACAAAGAAAACCCAACCCCTTTGGCTTCTTTGAGAGAACCTTGTTTGATCTTACAGACTGCTTATTTTCATGTAAAATGTCCAATGTTCCAATCTACAGGATCCAGAACCTACTTACTGTGGTTGTTACTCCCCCTGGGGATTCTAATATTCGGACTAATTTATTGGTGTAAGTTCTCATTTTGTTCAAATTGCACCTTGAAATAACTTGGGAAATACTTGTTCAAAGAATTCCTCTGTCTCCTACCTATAAGAAAGCTTCTACCAGGTAGGTAGCTAGCTCTGTTACATTGTTAACTCCTGACACTAAATGCACCCATGAGAGCTAATATGAATAGATTGTATTATCCCTCAGCTACTGTTTTTGAGCAGCCATCTGGGGACACTGGGTGGGTATTCCCGGTGTCCCTATGTTTTCATCCAGGCAGCAGCCGGGGTGTCCAAGAATCACCAGCAACCCTTCGCTGTTCACCGAGATTGCATTATGAGAACACGAGATGCAGGGGTGCTCCTGGGAAAGGCATTGCAGGGGACACTTGATACATCGTTTCTCTCAGTGCTTCCTCAGCCTTGTTCAAACTCCATGATCTTTTTATACGTTCTCCACCATAATTTAAAATACTGTGCAATACATTTTAGGCAAGTTAAATACCAAGTAAAATCAGCCAATAAGCCAAAACTGGATGTAATCATAATTCCTACAGAAAAATCCATATAAATCATTTGCAACACACAGGGCGGTGCAGTTTCAGTCACTCAGAAGCACCCCGTTTTTCCTTCTCTGTTTCTTCAGCTCCACTGAAGGTAAAGAGTGGCCTTTAGAGGCTGTTCAGCCAAAAACACACGTTCATTGTCTAAACACCACGAACATGCTCGCAGACCTGCAGATTCCCTTCTTCCAGCCCCTAGTGACTTCAGGACACGTATTTATTAAGTGTGCACACTTGAGTTGTTTGTGAGTGCATGTCCTTGAATTTCTGGGCATTAAATGCCACTTCATGGCAAGTTGATGTCAACTTCCCTGTCCTCTGCTTCTATGCCCTGCTGTAGCCATGACATCCAGCTCGGAGTTGAACAGAGGTAATGTTGATGTCATACAACACATGACATCAATGGTGAAGTCAAAAGCCAGCTTCAGGCTAGGCCATTGGGAGGTAACTGGACATGTCAACTAAGATGTGACATATCTCTAGGACACTTGACCTGGTGGGGTGGGATTATCCAGAATCAGGATAATGCTGTCTCTTGGGGACGTTTGGTCACTTTAAGCTTCAATGAACTTCTCCTTCTCTCTCACACTTCTCTAGTGTTAGAGTAGTGCTTCCTCCAAGGCTGAGTCGGGGTTTGATAGAAATTTCTTTGATCTTTTAGTTGTGAGAAAATGCCTCCGGAATAAAAATGGTCACCATGAATCTGTACCTCCAAATATTGTAAGTGTTGAAATGTGCATCAGCTTTCTTAGAAACACAGAGAAAATAGTAATTCAATTTTTTATATGTTACTTTTTAAAAGTAAACATTAATTGTGTTTGTGTGCTGGGGCATCAAACGTGATTAGGGGCATCAAATGTGATTAAGGTGTGAGGCCCAGTTTAGGAGCCAGCTCCACATGGCCTAAGAGTGAGCAAAGGCCTTCAGTGGGAGGGTGTTTGCAGTGAGTTGGTAAGGGGATGTGGCCAAGGACCATGTTCCACTCTGGTGTTATCCCTGCAGAGAGATTTCAGAAACACCCTTTCTCAGGGCATGAATTTGATATCCAAGCCCAGGCACAGAGAGAGCTCTCTTAAATCCCGTTATAAATGTGCAGCTTAACTTTATTCAGCCACTTGTTACCATCGCTCTTGCCATATTTTTTTCCAACATGGCATCAAAGCATTTCAAGTAGCAAAAGTTACACAGGGGAGAAAAACCAGGTCACTTTATGAATAATGAATTTCTTATTTGGGGCTAGGGCTCAGTATAGCTCCCTTAAATCTGTGTAGAACAAAACAATTTTAATTTAAACCATTTTCTGATGTCAAAAATAAGAACAGTTATAGTAAAGAGAGTTTTGGAATGAATGCGTTTATTGTGTTTGTTTTTGCGAGTCTCTATGAAACGTCACTGCATCACAACCCACGAATTCCCTGAGTTCCTTAGTGTATAAAAAATAAGCCAGTATTCTTTAGTTTCTGGCAATGCTGAGATCTTTCAGAATAAAAATTTGAGTGGTGAAAGAATCCTTAATCACTTAGTCTAGCTAATGTTATGTATATATCAAGCAATTGATTGAAGCAATTGATTGTACTTCAGTATTACGGAAGAATTGAAAGATTACATTTAGACTATTCTATTTTTATTTTTCTCTCTCTCCATCCCTATTTTTTTCTCCCCAGGAAATGATCCCAATAAATTCAACAGGTAAGGCTTTTATCATTTTATTTCACAGAGGTGGCTTCCAAGGGAGTAACAGGCTAATTTGAGAGTAAAATAAATGTTCCTAATTTCAGTGACATATTGTGGGGTCTGCTGTTCCTTAAGTTCACAGATCTTCCTGCTATCATCAAGGGTCTTTTCAGGTGGTTTAAGTTTATAACTCATATTCCTAGTTAAAGGTGAATCAGGTAGCAATAAGACACTAAATGCTGAGGCTTAGGAAAAATTTCCTTTAGAAACATTTAGGTGTGTTATAGAACTCCTTCTTATATTGACTTAGAGGTTACTCTGAATTGTATAGACTCAGTTACTGTTGGTGTATTCCAGCTCTGTAACAACATTTATGATTGTACTCAGCTCCCTTTTTTGAGCTGTGATTCAAAGATAAGATGATCACAAACTCTTTGGCTGCATCTTAGGTTTGTGGGCCATGGAACATCAGATCCACAGGGGATGTTAGAAGTGATCTTTTCCGACCTTGTTATGGATGAGAAAAGAAGATACAGAAATGCTATGTTTCTTGCTCAGGTCATAGAGCAAATTACTGGGGATATAGGAGGAGTCGGGTTAGAAGGCAAGGCTGTTTCTCTTTCCCTATCAGCTCTTTAGATCTACAGGACTAATCTGTATTCTTAAGTACTTACTGTAAGAGGAGAAATATACAAGGTTTTCAGTGACGGTAATTTCATTTAAAAAAACAAATTTTCAGAAGCTCTTCTCTTTCTTTCAGACATTAACTTGAATGACTATATTATCACTATTGCTGAAAAAATGACAATAAATCAAGTGAAAGAGTTTGTTCGGAAGAATGGTATCAACGAAGCCAAAATTGATGAAATCAAACATAACAACCCCACCGATACAGCTGAACAGAAGGTCCAGCTGCTGCGTAATTGGTATCAACTTCACGGGAAAAAAGATGCATATTCCACTTTGATTAAAGGTCTCCAAAAAGCTAATCTTCATGCTCTTGTAGAGGAAATTCAAGGCACAATCCAAAAGGACAATGCTGATAAACATGAAAATGCTAACTCCAATGAGGAAAACGAAAGCCAAATCTTGGTCTAAAGTGAAAAACAACTAACTCCATTCCGAGAATAATAATCAACAGCAAGGAAAATTAGTGTTCAAATATGTTTTCGACAAACAGAGGCTTCAAATATTGCTTGACTGTTTAGTGAATATGTTTTTTCCTCACTTACTGGACATGTACAGCTAATATATTTACAGGTCTAGAGGACCTCATGTTTGTGTCTTCAGGGATGTTTAAAATCTAAACAGACCTGGTGAAGAATAAATGCAGGGGTGTGTTAAGTATACAAATAGGAGTGTTTGCAAAGACAAAAGACTGGGATCGTGGTGTGGTATCTAATGTGTGTTCTGTAGATATGAACACCATTACTGTGCGTGATGACAAAGATCTGTCTACAGGCTGATCCCATCCATGAATCAATAGAAGCTATGACCTCCTGAAGCAATGTCACAATTACCGGAGAGACGACTTTGCCTCTGAATTGCCTCCCCAGCCCCGGGGTGAGGCTGGAGATTCTACTGTATAGGTAAACTTTGTTTATGACTCAGTATATTTAGGGAATGCTGGTGTATACCTCTGAGTGCGGAATTTCAGTAAGGTTCTACTTCGAAGATTTTTTCATAGATGATTGGCATTTCATTGTGAACTGTTTTAATTTCGCATTCACGTGGAAAATGCAGACTCGATTATCATGCTTGAAATTTTATATTTGTGTGGCATTTTACTGGCATACAAATATAATCAACTTCTTTCTCAAGTGCCAAAACATTTTGATCAGGGATGAGTTCCTGGAGCTCTACCACCTCCCCATTGTTTTCCCTGGATGTACATCTCGAATGCCTCTACCTCTCACACTTGGAAGCCTCATCTGTGAAACATGGACAGCCACTGAGATCTGTTGCTGCTCTTCGAAGCTTCTAGCCTGGGTTGGAGAGACTCAGAGTCTCTGCTTGCACGGAGGTCATTTTTTGGCACGTCATGAACCCGTGTTCTACCACCAAAGCTGGTAAAGTGGGCTCTTCTTTTGCTCTGTCCCCCACAAAATAGTCAGGACCTCCCCATATTTCTCTTGCTACAAGTGCAGCTTATGCATCAGGCTTTAGGGCTTGTTTTTGCTATGTCCTGCAACTTCTTAGACACATAAGCCCCTCTCCCCTTCTCAAGAACTCACAAAATGTGTGTTAATTTTCATAAAGACTATTTATATTTATATTGATATAAATGGAAGGGGATTAAAAACTAAGACAGATGCTTAGAACCACCTAAAGAATTTTCATTGATGGGAGATTTTTGCTCCTTATGTTTGAAAATGTAAAATAGATGTAAAAATATTTAATTAAAATTATGTTTTTGATATTTCTGGTTATTCTTTGTTGTTGTTGTTGTTGTTGTTGTTAGGGCCTTTGGTTTGTTTTTTTGTTTGTTTGCATTTTCTCTAACTACAGCTAAATATAACCTATTTATGAGTCTTCAGTGCTTTCTTTGGTCTCTCAGGAGGCATTTCCCTTTGAGACCCCTCTTAGTCGTGAAACTCCCTTCACAGGCCATCACTGCCAAGAACACGGCTCCCGAACAGCACGCTAGTATTCATTATGTGCGGATTTATTATAGCAGGATTATATGTCAGGCACTGGATAAGAAAGTAAATATTTCAAAAGAAATATATTCATAAGAAAGCTAAACAGGATTTTTGAAATATTCTTTCCTGCAGTCTTTCCATTGTGGCTGCTTGGTGGCTACTGGACTCTCTCCCTTTTTAAACACTTAATTTTAATAATATATTTTATTAACCCACTACCCCCAAAGTATTATCATTTTAAAAGGTAATCAATATAAAACTATTAATGAGATGGTTTACATTCTTTTTCTCATACTAAAGCCTTCTAGATCTGGTTTGTATTTTATTTATACTGAAAAGCACATTTCCGTTTGGACTGGACACTTTTCAAAGGTTCAATAGCTGCGTATGGCCAGTGGCTGCTGCACGCCAGATGCTTCAGGTCTGCATCTTTGTCGGGACGGGGTCAGCAGCCTTGACTCTGTGGGGGCTGGTTTAGCCCTGCCCTGCAAACCCAGCGTTTCTGCGTCTGTTCAATGACATCTCTTCGCTCTGGTTGGTCGGCCAGTCAGCGCCTCTCACCCCTATGTTAGCTTTGGGGATTGCTGTGCCTACAGCGCCTGGTAGTTCTCCTCCTGGCTCCTGGCCTCTTACCTCTGCACATCCAGAGACACCACAGAGTCTCCAGCCAAAGGCCCCAGAGACCCTCTGTACAGATGTCTGGAGCTCTCTTGCTGCACAGCTTCCTTCAGTACTTTTGCTCTGAAAGGCCTGCCAGCCTCTGTTTCTTCAGTTTGAACCTCTACTCCTCCCTCAACAAGATACCAATGCTCTGCTGAGGGTCCCCTCCTGGGCCAGGTCTGGAAAGTGCCTGCGGGCAGAAAGTCCAAGTGGTCGTAGGGTCACCTCCTCAGTCTCTCTTCCCCGAAGAGGCGCAGTCTGTGCCACCCGTGGCCCTGTTTTCAGGTGGCAGACGGCACTGCCTATGTTTCACAGCCAGGAGTGGAAGTCCTGCTTTGCAAGGTGAAGTCGAGTTAGAGAACGTGCTGCACCCACTCTGAGTTTCTGCCAGGAATTTGGGGTTCCTTTAGGAGGAGGACAGAAGTTGAGAAAGTCTTGGGACTTGGTGGTGTGGCTCTTTCCCTCATTGTTTCACCTGAGCAGGAAGGCTCCCACGTCAGCATGTTCCCGAGTCTGAGGTTTGTAACTGGTCCTCTTTCCTTCCCCTGGCCACTCCAAGCCATACTCCAGACAACAGCCACCAGGATCTTGCCAAGTGGCAAACTCCATTGTGTTGCTTCCCTGCTGAACATCCTCTGTGATTTCCCATTGCCCTTAGAATAGAGTCCAAGCTTGATTAAGGAGGCCCCATGCACCCAAGGGGTATGTGCCTTTCCAGCATCCTCTCTCAACGCTTTCCCCTCTCCCAGTCTAAAGCCACGGAAAACTACTCGATGCTGCTGTCCTGTTCTCCCTTGTCCCTGAGTTCTTCCTCTCTTGCTCCTTCGCCCATTTGACCTTGTTACTTCCAACTTACTCCTCAGATCTCGGCTTTCAGTGCCATTTCCTGGGGAACATCACCCCAGTGTCTCAACCACACACCTCTGATGTGCTCACGGATCATGCTGTCTTCTATATGGTTGTTTGTCTCTCCCTTTTGAGGCCACAGGCCACCTGAGCGTCGAAATCAGGGTTAATGTAGAGCAGGTGCTCATGCAGTCAGTATGTCTTGGATGACTCAGTTAATGACGGAATAAATACGTGCACCAGCGGTGTGTGTGGGTTTGTGACTGTGGGTAGGAAAGCTAGCGGTGAGTGCCTGGCCACTCACTGTATGGGGAGCCTCATCTTTTTCCTAAGAAATGATCATGTCATTAAATTTATCACATGTATCCAAGGCCTTTCAAGCTGCTTCCCCTCCCTCTGCATCATTCCAGCTCTATTTCCCACTGCTTCCTTGAGGCCGCACACTCCTTCTTTCTCACACCATTATCCTCAGTCCAGATCCTGTCCTGGACTATCCGTGCCCTGTGCTCCCTCTGCCAAGAAAATCATGTCGCCAAATCCCACCCCATCCCACTGGCTCCCCCAAGAAGCCACCACCAACTCTCTGACAGCCTCGAGTCTCTTCTGAAGTTATCGGCGACTGTCTCCAGGACCTCCCCTGGCACTTCAGCAAGTTCTCTGCACCATTTGACTTTGTGTGTGTGTGTGTTCCCCATATATACACTAAGGTCCTTCAAGGCAGGAAAGGAGCAATAAAGAAGTGGTTACAAGGGCTGGTTCCGAAAACAGTACATTTGGAGCTCTGCCATTCTGGGAGTTGAGACTTCCCCACCTCGGGCATATCACTTAACCTCCCTAGGTCTCAGTTTCCTTGCTTCTAGGACAGGGATAGGTATTAATAGCTGTTGTGTGGTGCTTGCTTCTCTGAGGTTAAATGAGCTATCTACCTACAGCACTTGGGGTAGTGCTAAATATAGCTTTTCTGTAATTACACTAACCTGCAGCATTCCACAGGTACAAGAGTGACACGGACAGGTCATCCATGAAGTTGGATTCTTGAGGAGACCACACAAAGAGCTGTAGCTGTTAGGAGATGTCTCATCTGCTTTAGAAATAAAAATGATTCTGTGGCACAATGCAGTGAAATGGCAACCAGAGGGCAGTCAAAGACTGACGGATGAAATGGTAACAAGGAAAAGGAGTTAGGACTGCCCCTCATCTCATGCTTTCCTTTCACTCTCTTCTCAATGATGCTGTGGCAACTGGAGCAAATGTGTTTGTGTATTAGTCAATGCTGCTCGAGCAGATAGTGAAGAAGCTATGAGAAAGGAAGGGCCATCAGTGTAAGAAACATTCTAGCTACCGGAATGAGGATGACCAGAAAGCATTTCTTTTCCCGTGTGCCATCCTCCCCGCACCCGCCACACACCACTGTATGAAGTATGCTGCCCAGACTAGTGGCTGCAAGAATTTAGACTTGCCTCCTAATGCTGGCACCCAAAGCTCTCATTTCAGTGGGCTCCCTGCCAAGCTCACCTCATTTGAAAATCTCCCCAAGGATTCTAACAAATGGTCCAGCCACCAGGCCTAATGGTTGCCTTCCCCTCTGCACCTTTTCTTGGACAGCTTTTGACATGGAACTCTCTTCTCACCATCTACAAAGGTCAAATGCCATCCCCTTTTCCAGGCTTAGCTGAAGGCCACCTCTTTATGAAGCCTTCTCTAGTATCTCGAGCCAAAGGCACCTTCCTAACTCTAGCATTTGTTGAGCTGGGGTCCCATCTGTGTACTAGGGCTCATGTGCCTGCTTCACTTTTTGTGGTGTGTGTTAGAGATGATTGTGCAAAGTGCCTAGCACAGTGCCTGGTTCACACACAGAATCTGCTACCGTATTATAATCACTCTCATTGTCATTAATAACGTGAAGTTTATCACCCTAAAAGGCAGGAGGGTAGGAGTTACATCTGACTCATCATGCATGTGTAAGCACTCACAAAAAGTTTGTTGCACAAACAACCACAGAAATTAGTGACCTGGTCAATTCTTAGCTCATTCCCGGAACAACATTACGAGCAAAGGACTCCTTGTGGTTTTGTGATTGTGACTCTGAAACACGGCCCAGCAAGTATATTCATTGTCTCTCCTCCCTAGTTATGAAGCCACACATAGTCATTTAGAAAATTCAGGCAATACAGAAAAGTTTATAGAAGAGACTGCAAATTCACCCAGTCTCACAGAGGAGAGGTAACCACTCTCATGCATTTCCATGAACACACACACACTCAGAGATAAATAAAAGTGATCACACTATATATACATATAATCTGCTTTTTACTCAATAATGGGTCATGGATGCTTATCCATATACAGATAATTTCTTTTTAATATTCCTTGACAATAAAATATCAATGTAGGATGCATAGTATTCCTCCAGTTTGAGGTATCATGCTTTATTAAAATATAAATGTTACCATTTATTTTGCTAAAATATAAATGGTACATAGGAATGTGAAGACATTTAGCCACTATGGCCATTAACACTTTAGTTCTTACTGGACTTGTTTAACCCTAAACTGAAGACTTGGTGGGCAAGTGCCAGAAGGCAATGCCTCAGAACTTGGGCACTGCTAGGGCGGCGGCCTAGGTAAGCACGGTGCCTCCAGGTGGCGGAGGAGTGGGGCAGCCCTGGACCAGGACTGAAGGACAGGTTGGCGCTGAGAATGCACTTTTCTAAGTAGACATACTCGGGCCAGCCCTGACAGATGTTTCAGGCCTCTTTCACTCCCAACCCCCAACACAACAAGGCTTAGCCATGTTCGAAGCTGCCAGAAGACATTTTTTTTTCATATTATGCAGTGCTGGCCAACCAGCTAATGAGGCAGTTACACGGAGGAGGGAAATGAAAGGTGGTTAGAGAGGGAGGAACTTGCTTGTTTGAGTGCTCACTGTCAGCCATGCTGCATGCTTATGTGACACAACATTTGACACTATTCAACATCTATTCTTGACACAATTTTCATGAAAGTAGGAATAGAAGAGAACTTCCTTCATTTGGCAAAAATGCCTGGGAAAAACCCACGACTAACAATAGCTAATGGGGAAGATTAAATGTATGTTATCTGGTGACTCCTTCAATGGCCCTGTTATCCCCAGTTTGTAGATGCAGGAGATCAGGGATTATAAGATCTGTAAACTCACCCGAAGTCACACAAGCAGCAGGAGCCAGAGTACTCAAACATCATCAGGCTGAAATGCAGAAATGTAATTTTTCAAGGTCTTGCTAGGACTCTAA